ATGGTTGTCTAACATAGACCGGTTTTTAGTTTTAACTAAGTTCAACAATCTCCACAACCTCAGATCTATATTACCATTACGAACCATAAAAGTGACCGTTTACATTTATCTGAAACTCAGAATCTAATGTTCCTGATAAGCTACTTCTTTTTTTATTTTCAAGCTGAATTTAGTTTAACAACTAACAATTTCTTCTGTGTTGCAAAACTTTCTACAACGACAAATATCATTACCTGTTAAGATACAGAAAGGATGCAACCTGTTTCCACTGGATGAGAGATCGTAGTTTGCCCGTATTCTGAATTCCAATTAGCCTGAACCGTTGTGTCCTGTTGTCAACCTAGTTCACAGTAATGTCACTGGTAATTTGTTGAACCTGAGGGAAAAAAGAGCCTGACGTTGTTAGAATAGGTCATACTTAAGAGCACACATTTGGGCTAGAATGCATTGTACTATTGAATATATTGCAAGTAACACAAATGTCAGCAAATTAAAAGTGAGTGTGCATACTAGTAGTGAAACTAGAGTGGAGAAGTTATTTAAATCTCTAATGTTTTGTATTTCCTTATAAAGCTTATCGGTGATGACTCTTAGAAAGTGTCATAACTAAATGTATCGCTCATAACCAAACATCATACTATATTATAAAGCACGGCGATTTCGGGTTACAAATTCGCACATTATAGTGTTATTTATTTAGTAAATTGAGCAACGCTTCAAAATACGTGAAATAGATTCATGTCCACGTGAAGAACTAAATGAATAAATTATATGTTGTCAAGGAATATAAGTTCTTTTAAACGAATGAGATATGATGTTCTATAACTTTCTACATAAAAGTTCATCTAAATGCTTCGCTAACTAAAAAGCTCCCCATAATTAATCCAAACTTTTGCGTACATTTTTTGTTTTAAACCCACCTATGTATCTAAATAAGTGTTTGTCCTAAAATAATGTGTATTTCTTTGGAAGTTAAGAGGACAAAACTAAATTTTCAGCCATATATATATATATATATATATATATATATATATATATATATCAACTCTGACAACTGACTTGTCATACAGAGATGTTGCAGTGACATGTGACTATGACATTTTAGGGTTACGTTGTTTTCTGGATAATCGATAAATTACCGTTTGTAAAACAATACTGCCCTGGAAGATATCATTAAATACCAGAGCAATTATGTTCAAACAGAGCTGAAAAACATATTATTAGTATTTAGACTAAGAGATATTAAGGCGACGACGCGCTAATAAATCTACCTTCCAGCTAAACACCAATCATAAAAATACGTCGTTAAACACAACGATACTTTAACATGCTATTTCCTACTAAATAACGAAAATGAGATTGGAAAAAGTCGACTACTGATGTTAGCAACACATTTTATGTATATATATTTGTTTAAAAACTTCGGAAAATTTACTTTATGGAATGAGCTAATGTAATACGTTATTTTTGAATTGTTGTTTCAAACATAAAAATACTGAATGATTCGAGAAGAATAAAGGTTACTTCAGCTGTAAATTATTTTGAATAGTTGTTATTAAAACTCTTAATAAACAGAATAAGGATTTATGAAGCTGAATTGTTGATAATGACAAATAAATTACAAGCACAGGTGGCTTCATACATATTTTTTTCATTGGTTCAGAAGCGCTTATTGTGAAATTAGAAATTTATGGAAGGCTACTTATAGGCACTGTTTACTAGTGGTCTTATTTTGTAGTCAGATTTCATTTTTAAACTTTTAATTGATTGAATTATGTTTCTATTAATCTTATATTTGAAACAGATAGCTGAATCCGCCTGTATCTCTTCTACTCAACGTATTTATACAAGCAGCGTAAATGGACTTAGAAATTTCACAAATCGATGCAAACAATGCCCAGATTTTAACGCGAACAACACATTGTAAAGAAAGCATCTTTTATGTTCTTGAAATTATTACCAATTATTATTATTTTGTCGTTTTACAATTTAGTGTTCAACCAGAAACTGTACGTAACTTACTTAAGTAATTAATTTTTATTAAGCTATGTTGACTTTATTTTTGATGTATGCAACGTTTTCGTATAATGATGAGTAAAAGGATTTGATTCGTTAGACTCAGTAAAACAATTGACCAATTATTTTCTACTGCAAACCCCTTCTAACCCAAAGATGTCTTTAGAATTTGTGTAGAAAACGGCTAAATCAATTGAAGCAAAATTTAACTTTGGACTAATTATCATTATAGATTGATATTCAAATGTTTCATTATTTATAATGTACCTCCAATGAAAATTTTACGGTGCTGGTCGAATAACATAAACAATGTAACGAGCAAAACATCTGGTTTAATAAACCGTTACCCGAAATGAATTAAAAACAGTTTACAACAATTATAAAAACAAATCAGCAATCCACCTCGCTTACAAATTAGTAAATCCTAGAACTTTTATATTGTATTCACAATACACTTGTGCAATTCAGAAATCAGGACCCAATTATTTGGAAGATATATGTCCAAAACTGTTTTAAAAATAATCTAAGTGAATGAGGAGTCTTGGTCTAGTTCATCAGGCTAAACGTTAGGATTATTTAAGCTTCAATTGCTCAAATTATTTCAAATAACATGTGTTAATTTTGTCTGAAAATTCCTTTTATTAAGAAAAATCCAACAATGGACTGCCAAAATTAGAGCATATTTAATTATACAGTTCAAGGTGCTCGATTATTCTTATTCACTGATTGAAGTATGCTTGATAAAAAGTAGTCTATAATATTCTTTTTAGACAAACAGATTTATGAAGAGAAATGAACTTGCAGGACAAAACCACCAAATTATCCTGCTACATTTCTAAAAAATTGATATAATATACCATTTGAAAATTTTACATTAGTAACCAAGCGTTTAAGTGACAAATTTTAGGGTTGCATTAGTGACATTAAAAGGGACCAAATCCTAACCAATTTTTATTGCTTTATCATCAAGAAAATTAGCGAGAACTAACAAAATGTTAGCTACATAAATAATATTAACAGACATTATTGCTTAAGCAGCAATATTTATTTCCAAACTTAATATCAGCTGGTCAATGCTCTGTTTACCTAGTTGACGTTTATTATTGGATATAATAATAACTGTTCATTTTTCCCAATAACGTATAAAATTGATTTAGACAGTGAAGGTTTTCCTTTTCTGTTTATTTATTGAGAAATGAAAGAAAAGTAATTGTTTCTCGTAGTTATTTTTGAGTAATAAATACCAACTAAATGTATATTGATCAGTTGAATGAAGACACGGGTAGATGGTGTGAATGAAGTTAATACTTATAACTAAGTTTAGGTCTGCTGACTCAGACTATCATTTAAAGCAGTTAGCTACGTAGCAGGTGGTTTAAACTTATTATTGATGCTCTGTCATTACTTTGTGTTTCACCTATTAAACTGTAAATATGTTTACTCAGACAAACCAGTCATTAATCAACCTGTGCATATGTATTGCCAGAAATAGTGTATAACACTTATTACAAAGTTTAAAAAAATTACCGACCATTGTTTTGTTTCCATAAACTAACACAAAAGAATAAAGAAATAAAATCAAAAACAAACTCTAGATTATCAAGTAATCAAGAGTGGATATCATAACACGAAAAAAATTAAATGGATTTTCTTTAAATAAACGAAACTTTATACAAAAATATTTTCTTGCTTTATTTCACTGTTTAAAGAATAGCTAAATTCAATTATTCAAACGTCAAACGCTGGCGTAATCCTGAAATATACTTACTACGACAAACTTTTAGCTCAACTAATCACAAGTTAATTCGAATCCCACAAACTACACATTTTCGCTATTATAAAGATCAGTGGTCAGAAGTTCTGTGGATTAGGTCAACTAACTGTTCGTTACAAGTTATTAGTTCTTACTAACCGAAGTAACACATAATTCAATAGTGTAATCTGTTTTATTGCTAATTCCGTCTTATAAATCCCCTTCGTTAGTATGATAATTCCCATATATCCACATAAATATTACTGAACATTAAACCGAATAAAGATCTGTTTGAAAACGATATTGTTTGCTTATATATGTAGTTTTAATTCATAATATAGAAATTCATAATATATCACTGCATTTTCAATAAGCTACCTATTCAATTCCTTTTCTATAAGGTACGCCTATTGAACTGGAAATTTAAAACAATGTATTTAGTTGGTAAAATGTGATACAAGGCATGAATTCATTTCTATTCCCTTTCGTATCTGTGTAAACTTCCAACAATTACACAAACAAGATTAAATAAATTATATTCAAATTCTTTTCAGACTGTGAACGTATTTGATCATTGGAATTTTAATGAAATAAATAAACCGATTTAAAGAATATTACTTTTACGAGCAATTTATTACATAACTTCGCTTAATAAACAGAGAGAATATAGTTTTTATAATATACGAGTAATTCCTTGTCTAAGACTTATCTTTTCTTCTCTTCAATCATTTATCTATATATTCTCCTTTTCGCTTCTCATATTTAACTCCTATGTTCCTAAGAATGGTCCTGCTTCACTCTATTTTATTTTTATTATCATCAAAATTTTTCCTACCCGTACTTATTGATTATTACTCATACATCTCCATTTCAACTTGGCAATACTCTTATCGACCATAGATTTCTGATTTTTTATAAATTACTTTATCCAATAATTATTTGTTTATTCCAAAAAATTAGTCGATTTTGACATAACTAGTAATTTTCAGTAACACATACAACTACTCGACCTTCACTTTATCATACATTTGCAAAATGTTGAAAATAAACTCATCAAAAAAGGATTTATCCGCTGAATGAGTTATTTTCTGAAGTTATTTTTACAATTTTAGCAATATATCATATACTATCATAGAATTTAAACTTGCTCACTTTATTCAATGTATACTGGCTTATTTTAAATTACACCAAATATAAATATATAAGAAATGATAAAAAATGAGGAACTCACATTAGGTAAGACTTGCCAATGTTTATCAGGTGGTGCTGCCTTCGTTTCAAGTTCAATAGGCAAACCATTTATGACTGGTTTCTTTTTTGGTCCTTCGGATGCTACAGAAACATCTGCTGATTCTCTGGTTGAACTTCTACCTGAATCGTGCTGATCATCTGGATATCTTTTCAAATGTTTTCCCTCAGATACAATATGTGGGTTTTCATCTGTTGGAGTTTTATTTGTCTCGTCTCTTGGATAGTTATAGGCATCTCTTGTTAATTTCTCTAAGTATAACTCTTGCTTACAAAACTGAGGTCTATAGGTTTCATCAGCCGTTGGTGTTAGGGATCCTTCTGATGGACTAACATCAGTTTCATTTTGTCTCTGTTGAATATTAGTCTGTGACTCATTTGATAATGTTTGTAACTCTACATCAGGTGACATTAAACCTGAAGAATAAGCGGTAGTTGAATCATCTTTTCGACGTTTTCTTGAGGGAGAAAATAATGAACCCAAAGATAATGTACGCAGAAATGTGAAAGGTTTGCTTTTTGATTTTGTCTCATTTCCAGAAGATAATGTGGAGCCAGCTGTTAGTGTAGCGGATTTCTTTTCCATTGTCCATCTTGTTAACCTGTTGGAAGATGAAGATGACGGCTTTTCTGAAATATCTTCCTCACTATCCGACCGATGAAACATACGTGGTAATGTGGAACAGCCTCTTTCATTTGAACTACCGGTCACCACTGTCCTACTCTTACTTGATTTCCGCTTCACACAACGCAGCATTGTAAAGGAAAGTTTAAAAACCCGATGTACAGAGAAATTTGGAAATGATTAAGGAATGAATGTAGCGGGATTTGATATGACTTGGCTAAATTATTAGTACACTATCGTCATTATTGTTTGTTCTTCACAATATATCATAACTAACATGAAGTAGCATAGAAAAGCAAGCATACAAACTTGTTTCTGTAAATTTCACTAAAATGTTCTAGCAATAAAGCATTTAAATTGATTGAGTTGAAAATTTGAAAAGATAGTTTATCATGACGAAAACAAGAAGGCACTCTACATGAAAGTATGAAATTTTGATGACTAAGTAATAGAACAACAAGCAAAGTGAAAACAAAATAATAACAAAACTGAATTAATATTAATCGATATTGTCCTCACAATTTTTCGACTCAACTATATAAAATAATATTATGTATGAGGCACTAATAATGATTCTCACTTGAGTAAAACGTATTTGTGCAGTGGTGTTGACTGTTTGAACAGACTGCACCGGGTTCAGTAAAAGATAAAGGGGACGAGCTCTCAATTCCTCCGGATTAATATGCTTGGTCTGAATATACGAGAAACGATCACTTTGTAAAATGAACTTGAAGCTTCAGATTTGTAATTCAAGTATTCTTCGGAAATTGATTCTCATTTTCTGATCAATTCCCTAACTGACCAATTAAAATTAAGTAATTATCCATTTTTAGAACTGAAAATTTAGTTGGTTGAAATTTTCGGGCTATGCGCTAACTGTTATGGTCAATATCTGTCTGTCCACTTTGTTTCTCTGCGGATTACGTCGAACTAGGTGGCATATGGTTGATATATGTCTAGATTCAAATAAACAATCATGGTAGTCTTATTATCATTATTTCCATCACGAATCAATATGTGTCAAATTACTAGGATGCTGTTTAATTATTTTCTCAGACTTTAAACTATATGGTCCCATAATATGTTTTAATATCAAGGTACAAACATTTTGCAGCAATAGGGATTGTTCTAAGGAGGGTGACTTGACATTATCAAGCTCAAGTATTTGATAACTGAGGAGGAAAGTAATGAACTATGTTGTTAATATCAGAAAGAAAGTACAATTTATGTTGTAATCACAGTATTATTGACAAATTTCGTGTCTTCGAATGTTTTTTAGTGAATGTTTCCGTCATTTAGATTTACATTTGCACATAATCTGTAATAAAGTAAACTGAAAAGAACTACTGGAGAAGAAATGATAATTCTGGCTAATCAATTATATGAATGCAAAACATGTATGTGATATGAAGTTGAGACTAGAATTTATGGACGACCTTTAAGCGACGCCAGAGTGACTTTGAAAGTGTCCACCTAACAATTACGACGAAATTAGGGGTATAAACCAGTGTGGGGAATTAGTATTATGATTTACAGTTGATGGTTAAGGTACGAATTAGATTTGGGGTTTTTATCACGAACTGACATCAACTATAATGCCAAAACTCTATTTATCCAAATGGATGAGTGAATTTCTCTCCAAAATTCGAGACGTGTCATCCTATATTTTATTGGTTCGTCCATAAATTATAGTCTCGCTGATGTGAAAAACAGCCATGGTTCATGAACTCAGTGGTTAAGCTTGTGAACCAAACAATACGTCGGTCAATCAGTTTGAATAGCTCAGTAGGAACGTCTCAGACTACGAAGTTGAGTCACTCTGGTTTGAATACCACATGGAACATCACTTCGCTCAAGATTACATGTACATCTAGATGACGGCTACCAACTAGCATGACATGTAGGTCCAGGGTTTTCTGCTAACAAAACCCAACTTATAATGAAGATGATCCTTAGAATATTGTTGTGAGTAAGCCGCTTGTTGACATGAAAAACTGGACAAAACAGATTATGTCTCCAAGATGAAATCCATCTTGAGTGACCACATAAGGTTCAAGTTAGACAAAAGTAACAAAGACTTAACTGATTCCACTGAGAAAAGAATCACCAAAGTACTCAGAAATCTGAAAAAGAAGATGATCGATAACCCTACTTACAATAATCTACAACCTCATTGGTCTCATTTACCCCATATGTATGGATTGGCAAAAATATATAAACAAGGTTATCCTCTTAGACCTATTTTTTCAATAGTCAATTCACCATACCATAAAGCTGCACGATGGTTGGCAGATAAGTTAGAACCAGTGCGTCAACGATTGGCCGCTTATACACTAAAGGATTCGTTCGTAATTGCTGACAGCATAAATCACATAAATATTGCTGGTAAGTTTATGGTTTCTTTTGATGTGACATCGTTGTTTACAAAAATACCACTTCTTGAAACCACAGACATAATTTGTCAGCATTCTGATATCCTACCTCTACCAGCACCAGAATTCAAACGACTGTTACTCATTTGTACAAAACATGTTCAGTTCCAGTTCAAACTATATCAAATACAGACAAACCGACGGTGTAGCAATGGGAAGTTCGTTAGGTCCTGTCCTAACAGATATCTTCATGGATAACCTCGAAAGAACCAAGCTCAAAGGAGTGATTGATGAAATGATGTATTATTCGAGGTATGTTGATGATACATTCATCGTATGTAATAACCAACAACATGCAACAAATCTGCTAAAGTTTTTCAACGAAGCCCATCCAAATATCCATTTCACTATGGAACATGAAAAAGAAAACAAGTTCCATTTTCTCGATATCGCGATAAAACGAAGAAAGGATGGTACAGCTCAACTTTTAGTTTTTAAAAAAGACACATGGATTGAAAATTATCTAAATTTCAATAGCTTTTGTCTAATCAGTTACAATAGGTCACTGGTCAAAACACTGTTTCACAGAACAGAAAGAATATGTACTGCCGATACACTAGAAGAGGAAGTTATGAATGTTAAGAAATGTTTAAAAAATAACGGATACCCACTGAAATTTATTGAGATATACGGCAAATGTGAAGATAAAAAACCCAAAGAAATTACAGCAAATAAAAAGCTTATTTTTATTCAACTTAAATTCAAAGGTGATAATGTCACAGGATCAATCAATAAGAAACTAAAAACTGCACTGACAAGAAATTATCCTGCAGCAAAATTGATTGTCCTGTCCAAAACAACATGTTCTTTGATACAATCAAAGGTCGACAAGTATCCCTTTCATGTTACCACCAACTGTGTATACAAATTCATATGTATCTGCCAAAGCAGTTACATTGGTAGAACAGAAAGGAGAGTCTACGTCCGCTTCATATAACATATTCCGAAAAGTTTAACATCGAATGGATTGAAAGCATTCAACAGTGCCATCGCAAGATATCTTTTTGATACAGGACACGAAGTCGATACACTGAAGTCCTTCAAGGTGATTAACAGACAATCAAGCTCCAACCTTCTTAAATTTGCTGAAGCATTAGCGATCAAACATCTAAAACCAGACCTATGTATACAAAAAGAGACAGTAGTAAATCTTTCTTTACCCTGGTAACAATACCCCCCTTTTTTTACTCACTTATTTCTACTTATTTGTTTCTTTATTTCTTTATTTATTGCGTCATTATTCCAACTCTTTCTGAAGTTTAAATTACATCATTCATAACTGACTGATTTCAATTCATATTTTCTTTATTACCATTAATCTATTTTCATGAGTTCTAATCACTATTTCAATGTTCCGGAACTTTCCCTCTCAAACTCTATTTATTCGAGACAAAATTTTGCGACCTCATTAACTCTATCGGAATCTTCGCTACACCATGATACATTTATTCGTCCTTATTCACCCTCTTATGTGTAAGTATGTCAATATCTGTAATAATGTTGAATTTTAAATATTTTAGGTTGTAAGCAGCTGATGAGAACCTGACGAAATAAAATGAATTCATATTATTCTGCACCAATCTTTGTTCTTACTCTCGTTAAGATAATAAAGGGAACTATGTGTATGAAAAAAACTGGAACACATGAATAGGTATGTCAGAACCAAAAAAACTCAGTTTGTAAGATTTATTTAAAGAGCTTTTTTTATGACTATCTTGACGCTATTACATTATAACACAGGGACAGAATTATTGTTTCCCCACACATTTTTCCATAATTTATTGAAACAAGTAAATATCTCCGATATTTCCTTCCACGAGTACTTATAAGTTTTACTTGATGTACCCTGTGAAGTATATCAAATTCATTTTGCTGATCAGAAGGGATTTCAACGAATAAACCGAATCATTCAATAATATTAAGGTCAGGTGCATTAGAGATGAGGCAGCTTATTTTTTAGCATCAGCAGCTCTCGTCAGAAACTAGGCTGTTGGTATCTTTATGTTTATTTATTTAAATAATTATAAAAGTCGACTTTATTGATGCATGCTTAGTGGATAATAGCAATAATATAAGCCTTTTGCAGTTTACTTAGGTCAATATATATTCACCAGGATAGAATTTAGCAGTCTTCAGGACTTACTTTATCTTCATTGTCTTTTGATTAGTCATTCTGAGAGATGCTCCGAAATGCTTTTTAGAAGAGGCCTCGAATTAAAAACAAATGCACCTAGATCCACGGGGTCCGCTGATATACACACTCATTTCGTCAGTTGTAATAACTAATTCATCATAAGGAACTATATAAAACGATGACTGGTATTAGATTTTACAACGACCGAGTATGAAACCTTAATGATGCGAAAAAGAAATAGGACCGAAATTATTGAAGGACGAGTTATGCATACCTTACAATAAATAAAACATGATGGTGTAATCTCAGATCCTAAAATACCCTGACTATATGAACAAAATAAAATGCATAGGTTGGGAATACCTCTTCATTTTAACTAGATATGATTGATTCACAATGATACTTATTTACGCAGTAGATAACTCAATTGTTGATTTAAGTCTAAAATAGATGTTCTCTGCACGACAGATTTTCGTTATATGCAGGTAGTAAGTAAACTTATTGTTGTCAATAAGACGATATCATTGGATGTCAGTTTGCTACTTGTAATCACGCGATCAACAAAA